CCTACATTCAAATGGCACAGTTCACAACATTGACCTCCAAAAAGAGAGAAGCTTAAAATATTACACTTCTCAGAAAAAGGAAACAATCAATTACCTGTGGATATGCGTAAAGCTTATTTCTAGCCATCCGAATGCTTTAAACTCATCTATAACCTTTTTTTAAAATTGCTTAGGCTATATTATTTATACTCACTTGACAAATACACTATACAAAGTGTGTAATCTATCGAAATAAGACGCTATCTATGGCTAAATGGCGCTTCGCGCTGTCTCATTTCCATTTTGTTCCTTGTACCCAAATTGGTCGAGAATCCTTTAAATTTACCATTTCCATCATGTATCGGTATAGCGTAATCTGAAAAATAGCCCGCCAAGCCAGGTCGTGGAATTTCAGTTTTGACCCATTAAAAAAATTTCATGAAAGTTGGTGTTAAATAGAAAATTACTACAAGACAATGGCCAAGTTGTATAAGGGAATTCAGGGCTGCTGATGTCCTTTGTTCCAGCGTGGATGTCCTTTGGCGTCCGCGTTATCGATTGGCCGGCGACGCGGCATGGCGGCAACGCCGTGGACGCGGCGGCGGCGGAAATCGCGACCCTCTCGTTCGCGCTGCCGCTGACGCTCCTCGACGCCGCGTCCGGGCTTCCTTTGACGCTTTGTAGTATAGTGGAATTAGCTGACGATCTTCAAATGTTCAAATTTCGAAGCTTCTTTCAATCCATTAAAAAGAACCCCAACAAAAAGGCCATCTCGGATGTTTCCAAAACATATTCTTACGGTCACGTTTTTACTTCCTATGCCAAAACTTTCGAAATAGAGATTTATGTTTTTTTCATGCACATCACAAGAAATTATGTCACTTATTTCCGTCTGTCTGTCCGCTAATTTATAACCGCCTTTAACTTAAAAAGTAGTGAGTTTTGATGATATTTTCACACAAGGTTACTACTATGTCAAGGGTGAAGAAGCTTTGTAGTTTTTGAAAGTTGGTCTAGTGGAGGCGGAGCTAGGGGCAAAAAAAATAAGAAAATAAAAATCGCTTAAGCTTCGATTTTTAACGTTTCAGACTGATTATTTTCGGGATTTCTTTTTTGTTGGGTTGCAACTTGGGGACTCTAAGTGATAGAGGGTTGTAAATGTAACGTCTTCATTATTAGACATCCTATCGTTAAGTAGCTTCTCATACCGGTAACAACCGAGAAATTAATTGATAAAAGTCCGATTTATATGATATACTCATACATAGTCATATAAATGTGATTTCGGATCATAATTGCTGTCAATTGTTAAAATAAATGATAGTCCGTAAATCAAAAACCATTGACATGTGATTTACTGCTTATACGAGTACATTCTGTAAATTAAATTTACTTAATGTTTTCGTAACTCTGATAATTCATTTATTTTGTTTTTTCAAAGTACAAAATTTATTCCATTTTAATTTATTCATATTGAAACTCATAAATAGCACAAAACTAAACATTTACAAATTCAATTTAGCAATTCTATAATCATATTTAATAATTATATTGGCCAAAAATAACTGTATAAATAAATTAAAAACAGCTTGTTTTCATATGCTTAACGAAGAATATCTCTCTTTCGGAAAATATGTGATTGATTCGGTAAGTGCAAAAACACACACACAAGTTCGTTTTTTTACCAACATGTTTTTTCTGAAAACGCTTCAATCAAAGGTAGATGCGTATTCTGGGTATACTCCTCGTAAGTCGCCACATTCCTTCCCCCTCAAATAGCATTACGTAATACACGTTCAGTGCAGAAACATCTAAGTCCGGGACTGCACGTACTACTTGGCTGCGGGTACTTAAATGAGTCATTTCAAAAACAGTACCACTATCAGAACATCAATTTTTTTTTTATTAAATAGCTTTAGGTGTGCTTACCTTTTCAGCCACAAAAATGATATAAACATGCTCACATTACTAATAACATCTGAAGTTTGTATGGCTAGCAGTATGATGTTGATTCCCATACATACACCGATCAGGGCCCTATACAAAACCACAGAATAGTATGAAAGAACTGAGATTCCGTCAAGGTGCCAGACGACTTTTTTTTAAGCAGACAATACAGGGCAACGGGTAGTAGGAATAATAACAAATATGTAAAGACAGGTAGAAACTAACTCCAATGACACAACAATCTCACTGTAGCTTCGGATACTGGGTTATAAGTTATAAATACTAGGACCATCGTTGATCGGGTTTTACGCCTGGCTGTCTCGAAGAAGTTCCACGGAATTTTTTGAACTGCTAAACTTCGAGTGCTTGGGAACCGAACAGACGTTTGACTTTGAGGATCGATACGCCAATTATCAATCTTAAACTCACTGACTAAAATACGAAATGACTTGTTGAATAGTTTTCTCGTTTCCTACCAAAACCATTGACTCAATTCTGCTCATTTGTATGACCGAGAAGGTTCTTAAAAATAAGCTAATTATGTATGAAGATGGAATTGCACGCAAAACACCTATCATGCAATGTCAGTTTTTTTGTTGAAAAAATCCATTTTGATGACTAGTGTGTAGTCATACCAGCACGTGGATTCTTCTACAACCGATTGCTGATAATTCAAGAAAGTTGAACGAATAAATCTATGTGTTTTTTCAGGATGGTTTGAATGTAAAACGGGAAATTCGACTGGCCCAGGTGTTTGGTTTGTCCGGGTTTGCCCTAGATACCTTAATAATATTAAAACCTGCAAAATTAAAACATGTGGCATGATAATAAGTCAATATCTAAGTGCAATTTTTAATAATTAACAATGAAAAATATAATTAATATGATTATTTTACTTATGTTATGTACCTATTTCCTGACGTAAGTCCATAACAGTTTTTCGGGCCATTATCATTATCAGTAAACTGAAAATTGTCCAAAATTTCAATCTTGTTGAACTAAAATACAAAATAACCCAAAAAAGTAGCTTAAGGTCGCACGTCCCTTTTTCCCTTTTCTTTTTAATCTACCTGTTTGCAGCAGTATTATAAATCCTTTTCATCTGACTATTTTATTTTTTATTTTTTTGTCAAAAAATTCATGTGAGTATTCCATTTTTATGGGAAAACGAAACGGGTGATTCTATCCTTATCATTTATTCCATTCGAAAAATCTTTGCTTTTCTAGAAAGCTCAATTTGCTACAAAATGAGGTTGCAAGAAAATCAAACATTTTTCGAAGAGAAAAAGTGATTAGAATAAAAGTATATCACTTATTCAATTCTTCCATAAAGGTGGAATATGCACATACAATTTCAAAATACTAATAATTGTTGACAAGTTACTATTGAAGAGGCAATGCATGATAAAATGCACAAAAAATGCGTTATTTCACAGAAAAAAATTAAAAATATAATTTTTGGTCATCTCTATGAAATAATCATATGATAATTTTGATGGATCAAGGTCTACAAACACGCATTAACTTGATGGAATCTAACTTTATTCTGGCTTCTTCAGGTAAACGGGCGTTGTATATAAAACAAAGCTGGGCAGTCATTCAACTGAATACATCAGCAATTGACAGGTGCGAAACAGGGCATATGCTGCAGAACTGGATTATCGATTTATTATACTTTTTTAATATACAGGGTGATATCAAACCATACTACGAGGAAGTTAAAAAAAACGAAAGAAAGGGATGTGTCTCAAAACTGGTTTATTTGTGACACCGTTTTTATTGTCTCCTAAAATGTCCAAATTATTGAACTTAGGAGATTTTTGCACTAATGCTACTAATTTTCCTATACTACTTTTGCCGCGTCCGGGCTTCGTTCTTGCCGCCTCGTCGTGCCGCTCATCCGCAGATCCATGGGAAAATCCACCAACGCTGACTGCCTTGCCTACCGTGCCTTCGACGTCGCTACCCGCGACCGACCCTACCCTTCTCACCCCCAGCCTCTGCAACCCCTATAACTGCCGCGAACTCGGTCCTTTAGGGATGAAGAGAATGAAAAAAGCAACTTTGATGCCGACGGTACGGCGCGCGGTGTTCGTGTCGCGCATTTTCTACACCACGGTTTTACATCCCACGGCACACATACATTACTCGCCAATGGGGTATCGTGTTCACAGCATCCCCTATGATGTGCCTTTGTGCGGAAGAATTTACAAAGCACGATTATGAAAATTATCTATCTAGACTATTTTGCTTTGGTTATTATTTTTAACACGCTTTTATTAGCTCTGTTTGTTTGTATGTATGTATGTACGTAACGAAACATTTCAACTTAATTTTCACCAATTTCAACAAATCTGATTAATATATGCATTAATCTTGAAAAAAAGTCGAGTTTTGAAACTAAATTGAATTTTCAAATTTGGAATTTGGAAAATGATTTAAAAACTTGGACATTAAAAAAAGGATGTTCGGATAATAATTTGAAGATTTAGAAATTTCAAATTTACGTGAACAGGAATAAAATAAATTTAGATTTATTACCAAATATAAAAATGCCAAAAATCAAAGCTTCCGATAATAAGTACTTTTGTTATCGTCTTGTGGCTAAAAATTCAAAAATTAAATTATTGCTCAACAAAAATAAAATAACACTGACAGCAAATTGAACTAAAAAGTAGAAAATAATTTTCACATGAATTTTAAAGTATAGGGGAGTTTTTGTTACTGCAATAGAAAGTATGTCTAATTAATTTGGAGTATATATTAATATATCAATATACAAATTAAGATGTTAACAAGAAACTCAATTATAGTAAAAAGAGTGGGGTGCACTTAACTATATTTTTACAATAACTCCAATTTGATAAAAAATTGCGTCAAGTAGATTGACTCTATGCTTCCTACGCATTTGTTGGAGGTTTCAAACGGGGGGGGATGAGTTAAATCGTTTCAAAAAGCGAAATCGAATAGCGATTAGGTAGGTTCACTTAGATCCGATGAATCTTCGACCTCTGCATATCAAACTACATACGTGGGATGTGTTTTAAGTTTTGCATATGGAAATAAAACAACGCGGTAGGTAGTTTTAAATGACTTTATTGTTTTTCGAAGTATTCTCCACGAAGATTAATGCACATTTGTCAATTTTCGAAGCATTTATTCCACTCGTCTGCTGGCAGATCCAAAACGGCATTTTTGAATGCGTCATCTGCTTCTTCTGGTGACTGGAACCTTTGACCACGTAGTCTGTTTTTAATTTTCAGGAAAGTAAAGAAATCGTTAGGACTTAGATAGGGACTATATGGAGGACTGTGTGTGGGCTGTGTGCGAGCTTGCATTGTCTTGGTGGATAATGATTCTTCTTTCGCAGTAACAGTTCCTTGCTCATTAAGAGGAATTGTTGCAATAGGACCCGCTTTTGACACAAATGTCGCGACCATCTTCGAGAACGGATGACTTTTGTTGGCTTTCCTTCATCTTGGAACACCCAAACAACCGACTGTCGTTTATTTTCTGGTTCATAACAGTGAATCCACGATTTATCACCACTAACAATGCTGTACACATTTTTTGAGTTTCCGGAATTGAAACGGTCAAGCGTTTTTTGACACCAATTAACCCTGGCTGCTTTCTGCTCTTCAGTCAACTGGTGGGGTATCCAACGAGAAACTAATTTTCTTACTCCTAATTCTTCATGTAAAATTTTTTGAATTGAGGTCTTTGAGATCTTCAAGGACGCCTCAATTTCGCGATATGTCACATGTCTATCTTCAATGATGAGTTTGCGCACAGCATCGACGTTTTCCTGGGTGACTGCCGTTTTTGGTGCACCTACCCTGGGATCGTCGCTAAGACTTCAACCGTCCACGTTTGAATTCTCCATACCAACGGAAAATTGTCGACTGATGTGGCGCTTCGTTGCCGAAAACAGACAGTAACTCAGCAAGGCATTCTTGTTGCGATAATTATAATAAATTATGGCGCGAAAATGTTCTCGGTTCAGTTCCATTTTTCTAATGACTTGGTGACACTTAAAAATTTACTGAGGCCTAATATGCAACAATTTACAACCATCCACCGCACACAACTTCCAACCTAAAATTTTCATCTCCTCCAATGTCTGAAAATGAGCAGGAATATCTGAAACTTTGTAATACTATGTTCTAGCGATTTTATTTTCGCCACCACTGAATCAATTTTGAAAATCTACGACTACCTAAGGGATGAAAGTATTAAACTCGCGATAATATTCAATCTTCGGTTCGCAAATTTTCTAATGCCTAAAAAGATATTTGCATCACGTAAGTCCGTGTTTCTCATGTTTGTTGGTTTTTCAGTCCGTGTCTGTTGTATATTAATGCGTCATAAGTACTGAATCAATCTACTTGAGATAATATTCAGAGAACCATCATAGGCGAAGTAACACAGGTTAAAGGTTATTCGAAATGGGTGGTACATTTGAGGATCATAAAATTCAGAAAAATAGATGGGTGATTCTTCATAACTAGTACTATTAGAAGGTTGTATTTTAATAAAATAATAATAAGACAGAAAAATTTTATAAATTTATGGCACATTATTTGGATTAATGTTTGCAGAGGAATGATGTCCAAGAACAGAGGAATTATTTTATTGAAAATATACTACTGCCTCTATCAAAAGTAACAAACTTTCAGATAGAATTTGCAATCTAAACGTGAATAATATTCCTAAGAATATAAGATACAAAATCATAATCCAAATTTACAAAAATACCTTCAAACCAGAGGACTGACATGTAAACAAAGGAACAAAAGAAACCAACTGGTTCCTTGCTTAACCTAAATTATTATTATATTAACTAGTAAATGGACAATACATAGTATTAATTAAAATACACTTAATTTTTTTCTATAACGTCCACCTCCTTATGGAAGTTATAATATGTTCATTTCCTTTGACTAAAATAGACGGTTGTGTTAAAATTGCAAGTATCTGATCATAACTTACAAAGGAATCATTATGTTTAACTCTGAACGCTGAAGTCGTACGGACTCCTAATATCCAAATATTGCTAGAATATATACTTTTCCTATAGCGGTCTATCAGTGACGACACCACCGCAGACCAGTTGGAATTTGCTACCCATTCCACAGTGGGCAGTGACCTCCACGATGATGCAGCGTCGTGTCGTGTACGCAACGCCACAATTGCCAAGTTGTTTCGGATTATGAGCACATCGGACTTCATCACCTAATTTTCCCGTTGATACCGAGATCAGAAGCTTCTTAATGATAGAACGTCTATGTGACCAGTACTGACATACCCATACCACTTACAACCCCCAACACCCAAGTTTTAACCATGACAAAAAGTTTTCCGGAAATGATCAGTAGTAAGTTTAAGCGATTTTTTTTCGTGTTTTTGCCCTTAACACCGCCACCAATAACCCGATTTGAAAAACTACAAAGCTTTTTGATGTTTGGTGCAGCAGTAACCTTTTCTGTAAATCTCTTCAAAATCCAAAGGGAACTTCTCAAGTTATAGGCGACAGACCGTCGGATATGAGTGACACAGTTTTCGGTGATGTACAAATAAATGTACATGTCATATGATATCAAAGAAACATAATGTCTCAATTTAGAAATTTTTCGCGATTGCAGTACTTTTTCGCCAGTTTTGGCACAGGAAGTAAAAAAGCAACCAAAAATAATTCTAACATACAATATCAAGCACCCCATGATGTTTTACTAGGATTAATCTTCTGTTAATATCTTAATTTTTTTATTGATCTTTTTCCAAATTAATTAGTTATACTTGCTTGTTGGACTTTCTATTGCAGTAACATTATTGTTATTTACGTTTTATTTTCATCTACTGTTAAAGCGTGTTTTTATTTGTTCGAACTAAAACTTATGAGTATTTTGCTAGGTTTTAGTCTCAGCACACAAAGGGGCATAGAAAGATGTCAAGTGGGTCGGAAAGCGTTTGCATTTTAGAAAGAAAAAAAATAAACAAACATTATTAACAAATAACATTACAATGTAATGTTTAATTTAAACGCATAAAATAAGAAATTAAATATCACATTCACTTATTCTGGCAACCGCTGTTTCAAAACTCGCCAATCGCAGTTTATACAAGTACCCTATGAGAAAAAAGTTTGTTGCGAACATCTACAAGAGAATTATCAGATGAATTATCAAATCAATCAAATCAGTCAAACATACAACCCATACAATTAGTCAGTAGACATCATTTCCCTTCCCTATAGGTACGACCCTGCATGCTACGTTGCATCATCCCATATCGTCAGACGCGGCAGCGCCCACCGGAGTGCCGTAGCAGAACAATTAATCAGATCGTTGCGCCGGGCGCTGAGGATAGATATGTAGAGGAGACGCGAATCGAAAACACATATCTTTCTTTCTAAGTTTTAAAGATAAATGTGGAGAAAGATCTATGATATCTTCATTAGGCAGACACCATGAATTCATTATTGTTATTTATACTAGCTATGATGACTAGGTGTGGTAACATACTAATATTCGACGGGTCAGTTTACATTCACAAGTCCTAATTCGTCTAAAATGTAAAATGAACGATTTCATAATAAAGATACAAACCTGGCGACAGGGGGGTTAAAGGTCATTACCTATTCTCAAATCGTAGATTTTTTAAGTTTGGGGGATTAATGGGCCACTGCAATGGCCATATATATCCTTTTTATATACTCATTCTCAAAGATGCTGCGCCCCTGCGTCCGTATCGCCAATTCCTCGGTGCCGGCCAAGGCGGCCGTGGCGCGGCGGCGGCGTCGTCGACCGTCATTTGTCTAGGCCGTTAAAGCGGGTCCGCTGCGTCCGCCGTTTTTTCATCCGCGATGCCGCGCATACAGGGTGTTTTTTCTTTGTCGCGCATAACGGGCCGCGATGAATAGGAGAGGCTACCTTTAGCGGGGATGGGGTTCCGGCTTTCATCCGTTGTTGATGCTGGTGGAAACTAGACGCGATAGGAGGATCGGATGTTCCCGTGCGAAAGATTTTTTTTTTGTTTTGTTTTGTCCTAGGGGTCTAAGAGACGAGGGACGTCGCGGTTACACGGGTATAATCATAGTGTGCTGAGATTGTTGACCCTTGAGAGATTGTTGAGAGGGTTCGGATTGTAATAATGCAAACTAGCCAAATACTAGGACATATTATTGAAATCGTAGACAGGTTTGTGAATTGTTTGGTACACAAAAACTGTCTGTACTTCCCACGCTACGCTGTCATCAGTTTGTAAAGGGTTTTGTTTGGCACAAGTTACGAATACTAAGAAAAAAGTAAGCCGCGAGATATACTCTCCCCCATATCCTGCCCCAAACCCCCAATTTTAACCCCCACAAACATTTTGCCGAGATAGTCTGGATCGTCAAAAAAACGAAGTTTGACCGGTTTTTATTTTTCTTTTGTTTATGACTGTTCTCTCCGCCACCACTGGACTGATTATCAAAAACTACGTTCTTGGCATAGTAACATTTTGTGAAAATTTCATTGAAATTCGAGCGGTTATATGATTAGCGGACAGACAGACAGGGCGACAGAAATGGTTTATCGTAATATACATGTCACATAACACCAACAAAATATATATATATATATATATATATATATATATATATATAACAAGTAGGAAAATAATGGGCAAAATCCGCAAAAAGGAGGAAAGTGGATTCGAGCAGAAAATAGGATAGGTAACCCGAGCGATACGTATTTCTGCTGGTTGGCTTCATCAGGCCCGAAATGAATGCACATATGAAACTACAAAAGTAGATACACATGCCCACACATCCGGATACGGGTGTAACCTGAGGAAACGAAGTTGGAGGGGAAAAAAACGACACACGAAGTCCACAACAATATATATATATATATATATATATATATATATATAATGTTATTACTATGCCAAAGACATTTGTAGTTTTTGAAAATCCCTACAGTGCCTGCAGAGAAAAAGGCCGAAAACGAAAAGGTATAATAAACGTTTAAACTTCGATTTTTGACAGTTCACGGGATCCTGATCATTTTTTTAAACATTCATACTTGTGAAACACCTGGGGTGGTGGTAGTAGGGAATGGGAAATGTTTCTCAATTTTTTGATATCAGTTCATTTGTACGCTCCCAACCTTGGTAATTCTACGCACCTATTAGATGTATTACATACACATAGCGCTTCCTATGCTCTGACCGCGCTGCCAAGTCTAACCGACGCAAGTGTTGAGGAGGAGCGACGTTTCCAGATGGTAGGGTAGGGAAAGAATGTCTATGGACTAATTGTATGAACCTGTTTGACTGACTTTTTTCTTTGTGAGTCTAGTTTGTTTCGTTATCTCAACGCCAAAGTATTGTGTTTTATCTCATTTCCTCACAAGACAAACAACATGGTGCCTTTATGGTGCCGAAGTACCATTTCT